CCAGGCCAAAGGAAATAAAACACCAAACGACCCTGAGGATCCTCAACAAAAAGCCTAAGTACTGGAAGCCAAATTTGCAGAAAGAGCACCAAGTAATCATCTTCCACTAGATGTACTAATAGTGCAGAATGGATTAGAGGAAGAAAGGTGGCACAGAATCCATACTGCATGTGCAGAAGCTTCTAACACTAATACCCCTTTCACACTGCATGAGCTCAATCAGGCTAAGAACAATTCTAAACATACATCCCTTGAAGACGACAAAACAACCTATAAAGTTATTAGAGACCTCGGCCCAGAGAGAGATGCTGCTTACCGAGGGTTAATTACTTGAGCCTGGACTTCTCGAACTAGACCTACAGCTTGGAATATGGCAGAAATAATGACAATCTCAAAAACCAAAGATCCAGCTAATCTAAGGCCCATCTCTCTCCAAAGCTGTACAGCAAAGACAACTGACAGAATGGCACACAAAAGGCTTTGCGTGGAAAATGTGCACCTGGTGTTTGAAAACCCGACACCATTTACTAATATTACATACAACAGGAAGATAATATTGCTGCTGTTGTATACACAAGGTAACCCATAGAAAATGAAGCTTGTAGTGGAATTTTCCGTCAATAGAAAACGGGATATCATTGCCACATAGTACTTTAAATTCACCATCTGTTCTGTTGGGAATTATTCTTAAATACAGTAGTCTTTGGACTTATTACATCATAAAAACATCTCATTTGAATTAATTTAATTATTAGTATCATAATCGAGTAAATGTGACTCTTCTACCACATATTGACATCTGGACAAGGAGAGCCAAGGCGTCAGTGGTGAGGAAGGTCAGCCATTGTTAAGACCATAGTGGCAGGAGCAAATTCAGCTCCTATAATTCTCTTGGACGAAGTGTTATGGAGATCAAATTAGTGCTTCTTTCATCAACACTCAGGCAACATCTAAACAAGGGAAGCGTCTTACCGAAACCCAATTATCTAATCATTTCTGGCTAGTTAATGTTAAATAGATATTGGGCGAACCGATTAGGACGCGAACGAGCCACTAAGTACATGTAATTAAGCCTTGGTCCTTATCTAATAATATATAAATGTTTTCTCTGATATAGCCGTAATATATTCAGATTCCAGCTTTACAGCTAGTGCCCTTTGACAGGAACAAGAAGAAGAAGCAAGAATTAATCTTGGTACATCAGTTACTTGGGTGATGGAAGGTAGCCTCTCACGAGGATAATTTGGTGTCTACATCCTAGTTATACCTGGTGGACTAAGCCTACCATACAATAAGATAAGGCACCTCCAATTTTATTAACTAATATATGTAGTTTAATGCTGTAGTTTGAATGGCTGCATATATATAAATTTAATATAACCCCCCTAATGTGTAAGGATCGATTTGTGAGAATAACTGCAGAAATACAGTCCGCTAAACATTACACAAATTGCTATCGAAACATATAAATTAACGTAAATATAAATTCTATATAAATTCATATATATTAAATTTAAATCTCACAGGTCGGTTCCCACACCTGGACATGTATGTCTATAGAAAAGGGGTTAGCACAGTGGAATGTATTGCCACTGTGTTAGCTTACCTGAATGATAAACCAGGAATACTGATATTCCTGGACCTCAAGAAAGACTTTTAACTGGCTAGCGCCCCAGTTAGTTATTCTCTGCCTCATCGACAAAGAGGTCAAAGGCAGCCTGCTCTCCTAGACCAAAAACTGTCTCATTCCTCCAGCTTTTGCTGGAGCCCATAACTCTACTGCTCTCTTCATCCATCATGATATTCCCTTCACCCCCCTACTGTTTCAGTCGCACATCCAGTGTTCTGCGGCCGTATCTTTGTGAATAAATGGTCTGTTCCATTTATCTCCACCAAAACGTCCTGCTTTCTCTTCCTTTCCTTGGACACCTGTTGGACCCCTTACCAGAGCCTGTACTCCTTATGGGTGAGCTTAACTGTCGGTACACCCTTTGGTGGAAATCTACCAGTGATTGATTTGAATATTAATTCAAGAAGTTGTATTTAATTGCATTTATTACTTCTAAGCAGACTGTATTTTATAATTTATTGTCAACAGTAAACTTCCCTTCACACATTTTAGAGAGGCTTCATATTTTATCTTACCGCAATTAAACAGTAGATATAATTACTAATATATTAAATTACACTACATTAGTTAAAGTATTTAATGGGCTCAACTGTTTCAGTAGTGACATCTGGTCATCCAACATAGGAAACCCTTGGTCACATGTATTTTTGGTGAACAGGTATTAATGGTGTCCGGGTGGTTCTGGGATGGTACAGCTCAACTTGTGGTCTCATGCACATCAGTTTACCTGCCAACACGTTATATCGTAAAAAGTGACAATAACATGTAAAGTACAGGTGTTATACATGAAATATGATTGATTAATAGTATATAACTTACCCCCATGGTTGTTGTTTCCCTGCCCCATAACGATTTATCTAAGACACAAAAATTTGGCCAACTAATCTGATGTAAAAAATAAACCGAACTGGCACTTTAATTAGTTTTTGCAACAATTGGTGACTAATGTGAGTCATATTGCCCTTTGGGATCTGCGTGTAGAGTTAGTGGTCAGGTGGTAGGCTCAATGTCGGCTCAACAACCTCGTGATGTATCAACTCTCAAAGGTCAGTGCACTCTTAATAATGGCTGCCTCCCTCCCTCCCTCCTCCCTCTCTGGTGCAGACCCATTTGTTTATATTTGATATTTGAGAGGAAGAATGGGTTTGTATAGAGAGCAATAATAACACGGGCAATAAACCCGTGTCTAACACATTCTGGCAGTACATATGATCCTAAGTTTTCTTCAGTGTGGTGTAAGACTTCACTGGCTTTAGGCGTCTCAAGCTTTAAAGCTATATTGTTATCATCCGAGAGTCCTAAGCCATTCACAAGCTGCACCAAGAATGTGCTGCGAGACTTAGAACGAACAGATGAGCCTCAACTTGAATAATAAATTTACGAGTATGTTAGGATTTTTCTGAAAGCAAACCTGCCAGTCTCTGTAAGGCATTCACACATTACTACATCAGGGTTTAATGAATATTTGTTTTAGTTCAAATTATAATTGTTAATAAGTACTCTATCAAATATTTTTTCCAACTGATATGTCACTTGATAACTGATGTTAAGATCTTGTTTATTGTTTGCGTTATTCCGTATCGTTGAGTTAACCTTGAAAAAGTCAACTTCTCATGTGTCATTAATTATCTCCTTAGGAGTTTGGCAGCTTGATAAACAATCTTCAGGTAACTATAAGATTGTAGTTTTATTAGGCACATGAAGTCAAAATATCACTAACGTACCCAGGCATAATATGCTGTGGTTAGTTTCTCGAAACTGGATTGATTTTCCCAAGTTCATTGGGAAAAGCTCGTTTTCAATGAGTATTTTTCCAGATCTCATCTCTAACACCTTTGGAATAACAGAATTGCAACTGGCGTCTCTCAGCATCTGCCATTGTGAATACTTTTCCATCCAATAGTGCCTCAATTAACATTCTATAAATTGTACCTGACTTGCACATTCATCAATATTTGGCAAATCATCTTGAGGCTTTTCTGGACCTTGGAGAATATTTGCCAATATTTCTGTTGAAATAATCGTTGTGGTCCGCGACATGATATGTACTAGCACTGTTTTACACAGCGTCACATAACTTCCTCTCTACAACTAAGGTAGACACTGTGTACAACGGATAATTCCTAGTTTAAGGCTGGTCACAAGAAACAACACCTTCCTGCACAAGATCCAAACTTTATTTACAACAGCGAGGCTCGCTCGTACTGAGGCAAGGCTCTTCATGTACTTTGTTTTCTGATGGTTCCTTTCATTGGTTTTGGAGTCTTGCACCGGGCTTAAGGACTTTCTAGCACCGGGCGTGGAGACCTTCTAGCACCGGGCTTGGAGATCTTCTGGCACCGGGCTTGGAGATCTTCTGGCACCGGGCTTGGAGACCTGCTGGCAACGGGCTTGGAGACTTTCTGGCACCTGGCTTGGAGATCTTCTGACACCGGGCGTGGAGACTTTCTAGCACCGGGCGTGGAGACTTTCTAGCACCGGGCTTGGTGACCTTCTGGCAACGGGCTTGGAGACTTGTCACCAGGCTTGGAGACCTGAGCAGGCTTGGAGACCTTCTGGCAACGGGCTTGGAGACCTGTCACCAGGCTTGGAGACATCTGGCACCGGGCTTGGAGACCTGTCACCGGGCTTGGAGACCTTCTGGCATTCCACTGTGGGTACACTTTTTGTAACAAGAAAGATGCCGTTTTACATTACACTTCATTATCTCTTTCATTGTAATACTGAGATCAGATGTTGCATATTAATATTGTCAACCACCGATGTATTTTTGCGAGTTAATAGTGTTGGTGGCGCAGTAGAGACCAAAAGTCTACTCTGTGCACGTCCCACGTCTCCCTCGCGGTCCCACGACCGCTCTGTGCTGTTGCATATCTAACAGTAATATTTCTGGGAAAAATGCTTCATAGCGCAAAGTTAAGATCCTTTTGGTTCTTAAATCCATACATTATTTTCTTGGTTTTTAGGTGTTTCAGATTCTTTACGGAAAGATCATTTAATATATGAAAGTTATATTGGTAGACTGTGAAAAAAGAAATACAAATATATTTTGTCTTCCACCAGAACGAAATTATACCCATCTTCACTGAACTGCATTTGTCTCCTCTCTCTCATTACCTGAAGCTTTTCCCAGTCCTGCAATAAGCTTCAGCTGCTGGGATTAAAAGCTCGCCATATTGATATTACCAACAAATTAGTAGTTATGGATGTTTACACAATTGTTGGAGATTCTTATGAACAATAACAATTCAAGATATATAAATTCGCGAGAAAAAATAATTTTCTTCCGGTTCTTATAATAATATTTTCCCGCGCCAGGACGTTAACCTAAATATTATCACAATAACAGAATTAAATAATGTGGCCTTACTCTGATTCAACAATATGCGGAGGTAGGCGGATGAAGCCGGTAAGATGCAATTGTGTCCGTGGGTGTTGAGTGAGAAGCACGAGGCCATGAGGAGGGTCGTCAGGGGCAGCACCAGCAGCGCTCCCAGGATGGCCGCCCACACCAGCGGCTCCAGAGGGAACAGGAAGCCCCACGGGTTTACCTCCGGCCGGCCTCGAGCTCCAAGGATCCTGTAGTAGTCTGTTAGGAATGGCTCTGTGAAGTCCACCACCTCCGACCGGATTCCACTCAGAGCGAAGGGGCCGACTGCTACATCTACTTCCTTCTTGTTGAAATAGAAAAAAAAGACTGATCAGTAGAACAACTAAAATATAATTGTTCTTGTAGAACATGATGAACACAAGACACATGTTCGGTATTATAGAGAACACTATCATACTTGGCATTTATAATGTCAAATGATGAAAATATCATTCTGAAGTCATAACAAAGTCATGCTAGTCGGCAGTTGTGAAGCAGTGCATAATCCTGTCTTAACCCTTCCCAAATGTAGAGGAATAATAATTGTTTTCAAGTTATTATTGCATTGACAATTTAGTTTTATAATAAATTACTATTCTTGTCCATGTATGAGAATATCTCCATGAAGACAACACTTGCCTGCCTGATGACCATGCCCACCATGCCCGACCAGCTTCCGTCCTCACGCTTGATGCCCCACGACCCGTCTGGAGGCCTCAGGTATATGTACCTGACGCAGAGAAAACTAATTCTGCCTTATGGGTGTAATGTGATTAGAATATAACAAACTTGTATCATTTTCTTTGCATCATATCTAAAATATATTTGGTTTAAACATTAAATTACTTCAAAATCCATCCGGTAGTACAGCATTTGGTAGGTCAATAACGTGTTATAAAACGTAATAATAAATACGGGTAGTACTGTCAAAAAGGACTAGTTCCGTCCTGATAATTAACTTAATGTAGTCCTCATGACGACTTAAATCTAATTTATACAATGTAACATCTATTTGGCATTGACAATTGTTTAGCAATGAATTAACTGCAAAATATTACTGGTTCTCAACACTTATATAACTACATACTGCGACTTGCGAGAAGGTTACAGCCTTGTCCAAGATGATGCCAGTTGTGGCTCAGATCCTGCATATGGTGACCTACGAGGAGTTTAGAGCCTTGGCCCTCACACAGGATATGTTACAAACTGTGACTTGCAAGACGTTAAGAACCACCGCCAGGTAAGACACAAGGTCTGCACCCCGGTCACTACAAACTGTAACTTACGAGAAGTTGAGCCCCTTAGCGATGTAGGATACCATGTCCGCCGCGGGTCCTGCAAACTGTAACATCACTCCCTCATGGGCTGCGACTTCCTCCTGGGTAACCATAATGTTCAGCGGGTTTATCTCCGTCGCCAGTTTCAGTGTCGGCCGCTGAAGGAATCTAACAGCAAAATACATGTTATTAAGTTTCCTTCACTACAACATATCTAGAACCAGTTTACAAGTACTAATTTATATTAGTTATAGAATTATCTTTTTTTCTAATAATTTTCATATTTCTTACACTACTACATTAAAAGTGAAGTTAATAAAACAATCCTAAACAAATTCACAATGAAAGTCTTATGGGTTTTAATATATAGACAATATAAAGGTAAGTAATTATGAAAAGAAGGCACCAAGCCTAGGAGGCTATGTAACACCATCAAAGTCACAGTAGATTTAAAAGACGCTAAATATCACTAAGGATGTCAATACTAGAACAATAGCATACACGTTGAGCAATATCACAGGTATCGGATTCACCAAGCATTCTATCGAGAGACAGGTGACCGTGAATGAGAGTCGGGAAGCAAGACACACACACACACACGTCCTGGAAGTAAGAATACTCAACAAGGATATGCACGATTGTATAAGGACAATGAAGTTCAGACAATGAAGTGCAGCGTTGCGTTCCATTAAGTGCCCGTGAGTTAAACATGTATGGCCAATACGTGATCTCGCCAGAGCTGTTTCCTACCACCAGTTACGGTGACACGCCAAGGGGACACGCTACCATTTTTTAAGAGCACGTAGTTTGTTACCTGCAACAGACGACAAAAGATCCTGCCAGCGGGCACAGATCGAGGAATGAATAACTGGGTAGAAATTGATACAAGAATGCCTTTTCGGGAAATAGAACAAGTGCGGATAGCCTCCTTATGGAGGCTATCCGCACTTATAGCCTCCATAAGCCTCCTTATGGAGGCTATCCACACGGTCCATAAAGATCAAATAAGACCTGTCCATGGTTCAGGGTTAGCTGTACAGCACAAATGCCCTAGCATACATTTGGCTTCTACATCTCCATGAAGTGTTTAAAGACACTTGTTACTTTTGCCAGGTGGAGCAAAATCCTTGTGCAGCCAGGAATTTGTAATGGTCCAAAATATGTTACCTCACAAGTTGAAGAATGAAATAACCATGTGGGTAAAGGAGAGTCTTGTGTCCATTATGGATGGTTACTGGCTTCTTCCCTCGATGATAATGTGCCATTCCGACAGATACCCATGCAGGTCTCCTTGTTCATATGGAAACAGCAGCACCCAAGACAGTTTTCCAAATCGCCGTATCGCTCTCAAGTAAACCAACGCGAAGAAAACGGCGAGTCAGAACAGTCTCAAGAAGACAGTTGAAGGCTTGGATGGAGTTCATAGCCCCAAGCATGATATAATTTACGGCCTAATATATTAAATACTTAATAAATTTTACAAACTCCTTCTTGTCTTACAACTTATATAATACTATCTTGAGGTTATCTTGAGATGATTTCGGGGCTTTAGTGTCCCCGCGGCCCGGTCCTCGACCAGGCCTCCACCCCCAGGAAGCAGCGCCTGGGATCGAACCCAGGACCACAGGATCACAAGTCCCGCGTGCTTTCCACTCGGCCGACCGGCTTCCTACTAGTACACAATTTCTACACAGGAATAATCACTGCTCCAATGCTGGCATTCACTAGGGTATTTTTGGACACCCGAACCAAGGTCTCATTAATACACGACAAAGTAGCTACGCTGATGGCCACCTCCCGAGGAGCCACGTGGGCTAGTCTGGGTGGTGTTAAACATAACCGGGGAATCCACGGAGTAAACTAAGGGCTCATGGATACGCACATCATCAAGGAGGGTATGTTGATTATGACAAAGATCAAAATACTTAGGCCACGTAGCAGGCACCAAACATATCCATGAATGCAGCAGCAGTAGCAGGAAACAAATACGTGCGAGTGGAATGATGGCACCGGTAACCCCTTGAGGGTATTAAATGGCACAATTCTCACAATGGACGATGGAGCCACACCAGGGGAAGATATATTCACCATAGGGAGGTTGGGCTCAACACCCAGCCATGGAAGTGGGAGGCGACTGGAGAGAGCCAGTAAAGATAGTAAGAGATGATGTCTGGTCTTGGCCCAACGTAGCCAGAGCTATTAACCCCCATCCTTTTCTCATGGTCAGACTTAATGGCCTGTTTATCCACCCCATGAGTCTGAGGAGAAATAAGGCCAGAACATAAAAAAGTAACGAGGACTTTGTTGTCCCACTCCCTTCCTCCATCACGGAGTTCATATGGGAGGCACAAGGGCAAGTAAGCCACTTCAGGGGATAAGCAGAACCAACCCGTTCTCACACAAGACAGCACATATATGACTTAATGCTTAAAGTCAATATGTTGAATATGAATTAGTAAATATGTGATATATTCCCAGTTAACTTTTTTTACCAAGGCCCAAACTCTTCCTCACGTACCAATTTAATACGTGTCACAGTACCCGTCCGTCAACATAGATAGCAGAATATTCGTGATTGGTTCAATTATAAGGAAAATTGTAGTTTTCAGGTCCCACATGGGTTGTGAAATATACCTACTATTGTCCATGCTCTTAGAATATTACAGATCAGCTACATCCTATTGAAGGCTCGTAGTTTTGTTTTGAGAAATATTAGTTGTTCTTAGTAAATTATAATAAGCACTAAAAATTATTACATAGAATAACAGTCCTTCACCAATCAATATTATATACCATAGTTTCCGCTTTACAAATCTTTATAGGATGTTTTGTAGGAACGCTAACAGAAAACGATGTTACGTTGGAATGTCTATGGGGTAAACTACTGCAAACAGGACGGTATTGTGTCTACTATACCAACTATAGCTAGGATGGGTATATTGTCCACTACCACCTGTTAGGTGGGAAAGGGGTCCAATACCACCCACAGGATGGGTATGAGGGTCACATCCACCCACAGGATGAGTATTTGGATCACATCCACCCACAGGAAGGGTATGGGGTCCAATACCACCCACAGGATGAGTATGGCGTCCACTACAACCCACAGGATGGGTATGGGGCTCCAACCACCCATAGAATGGGTATGGGGCTCCAACCACAAATAAAATGGGTATAGGGTCCAATAACACCCACTGGATGTGTATGGCGTCCATTGCCGCGCTTCGAGCTCGAAAACCGCAGCATTCATCTCAGAACCATGCCTATTTCACACAGATTCCTTAATAAACGTAAGAGTTTTATATGTCACAAGAAAGATAGAAATATAAGCTTCTTTCTAAATACCTTACCATGGGCATATTTAAATTTAAAGCGAAGATACGTGTACTTTTATAATAGCCGAGCTTTAACCCCGGACAGATTGATCGACGAGCAACTCTCTCTCAGAACAATGTTTATTTCACGTGAATTCGTTAATAAACATATGTTTTATATGTCTCACGAAAGGCAGACATATAAGCTTCACTTTAAACACTTTACCATGGACATATTTAAAGCTCTAATGAAGATACATGTATTTTAAAAATTACGGAGCTCCCACCCCGTACAGACTGAACGACAGAGCAACTCTCTCTCAGATCAATGTTTATTTCACGTAAATTCGTTAATAAACACAAATGTTTTATATGTCTTAAGCAAGATAGAAATAAGAGCTTCATTTTAAATACATTACAATAGACATATTTATAGCTCAAGTGAAGATACATATGTTTTTATAGTAGCGCTCAGTAGCTTGTCGGGCATGGAGTGCAGACGCCTACACACTTGCAGATATATTGTATAATTAACAAAGATACGCTAATAAAGCCTAAAATCTTATATGCCTCCAGAAAGACCGAGATATGAACATTATTATGATTTCACCAAATGAAATATATCATGTTCGAGAACAAAGATATATCAATTTTAAATTAAGTTTCGACTCTTGCTCGGGCGAGAGAGATGAGGCGACTCTCGCCCCATCTATTGGAGATTCTGTCCACTAAAGACCCAAAGCAACTCAAACCCTCCTAGCATTATTTAAGTAATGAAGTAATATGGTATATTTACTATAATGTGGGTGCTGAATGCAGAACATGAGAAAACATATAGTTACTCCAAACTAATATAATTTCATTATGAAATAAGTAAATAAGTAGCATCAAAGGAAGTCGACGGTCCAAGCGTCAATGTTGTGGAGCGACTTATCCAAGATATATCGTTGTTTGGAAAGTGTTTGTTGGCATATCCAGTTGTCGCACTTCTCTGCACAAATTATCACAAATTTAAATTATAATGTTAACAAGTAGAATACGTATTTTTAATAAAATCTAACATAACTAGCCAGAAAACATTTAACATTTATTAAAAAAATATATGTTTGGAAGTTAAATTGACTTCATAGGACAATAGTTTTGTTATATATACTCGTTATTCGTTGACATGCGTTCGCTACTTAAACTACCATGTACTGTACTTACGTAAAATCTCCCATGTCTCTTCGCTCATCTCACCGAACCCTACAGGCTCTTTGATATATTGTTTAATTAATTGAGATTCACAAATAAAGCTTATAATTGTATATGTTATCAAAAAGGCAGAGCTTATTTTAGTTCATTTATTATGCACCCCATACCCATCCTATGAGCGATAGTGGAGTGTTACAGAGGCACATAATGGGCTCAGGGACTGAGCCCCACAATTCATATAGCCAAGCAAGTTATAATCTTGATAAGCTAGTTACAAAAGTCAATGCACATTGTCACATCAACAATGGGCTCGAGTCCGACCACAAGTACAGTTTATAATTTAAGCAACTGACATATATGGAGGGCTAGTGTCACAATTGATATGTTTATCCTACACATAACCCCCTCTACCCCATCCAATGGGCAGCGGTGGATAGATTACAATCAAGTCGTTTTTTGCGTTTTATTCAGAGATTAGATCGTATTGGGTGAGGAAAGATATTCATATTTTAAAGAAGGCTTCTTGGCTGATGCTCTCCATTGATGGAAAATATACAACCTTTTGAAAATCAATGTTAGTTTGATCTAGATATTGTAATTAACGAAAGTATTTATGTCATCTGAAAGGTAGAAATATAGGCTACATTTAAAATCCTTTGT